TTCCTTCCTTCCTTCCTTCCTTCCTTCCTTCCTTCCTTCCTTCCTTCCTTCCTTCCTTCCTTCCATCCATCCAACCTTCCTTCCTTCCTTCTTTTGCTTCTGGAGTCCTTACGATGCATTTTGAAGTCTATAATTTTGATATACCATGACTGCCTTAAAAAAAGAAGATCCTTACTTCCTTTTTACTCAACAACTTGTACCATATCTTCCATGTGATAAAAAAATCTCCTAAACACCTCTAAAGAGTTTTAGTGAAAATGATTAAAGAAATTCTAAAGAAAAATAGGAAAAAGGACGAATGTGTATATAGATATGTATCTATGTAAAGTAATGTAACTAAATAAATATTGTACTATAATAATAATGGAAATAAGTAAGGATTTAGTAAATAAGATATAGATATATTTGTAGCAAATGAATTTAATTGACACTGATGGATATGTACACAGTTACGACAACGCTGCAAAATGTGAGAACTTGTTTCTCTTTTTGAAAACTTGAAATTTTGAATAAACACATATTTTTTTTTAAAAAAAGAAGATCCTGGGGTCTGTACCTGTCGCTTATTTTGTAGCGCAGCAACTTTTTGTGTGTTTTCCGCAGCATTTGCACCCATCCCCTTTGGTGGAATTTACTTGCCCTTGGAAGTCATGTCCAACCGATGCCATTGTTCTCCCCTGGTCCTCGCTTATGACCAAGCCCATTTCTCGGCCCTCGTATCAATGGAACAGAAAGACCAACAGAAGGAGCAAGGTAGGTCCGGCTTGAAATCAAACCGACTTGTCACAAAGAAGGGACCGCACAACCACCCTTGAGCCCAGAACTGACCAGGACTGAGATTTAGCCAAGAATGAACCGGCCACAGGTCATATTGGAAGGTGGTTTGATAGGAAACTCTAAAAGCTGCCTGTGCCCAGATCCTCCTGCGTTGGGCTGATGGATTTGCAGCATAATATATTGCTCACCATTCCAGGTCAATTCTAAAGTATCTGATCGCTAAAATGGAAGCAATCCTTCCCCTTACTTTTTTCTATGGCTCCTCTGGGCATTTTGCCTTTTATCAACAGTAAAAATCTCTCTGGTGTGTCTATACTTGTCATGAATTCTCTTGAATATTCTCCAAGAGAGAGTTGAAAAACAAGAGTAAAACCTAACAAGCTCAGGAGCAAATAAAATTCTGCAGGTTACTACGGTGTCACTAAGATGATACCTGTGCACAGAAGCCAGGAAAGGACTCGTTATGAGATGAGGGAGCCGTCTGTTACTTGAATAGGCAGTTGAGAAAAACAAGAGAATTCCCTTTTTTTGCTGGGGGGAAAATAAAGCCTTTTGAATTAAAATGTGTTAAAAGACTAAAAACCCAGATATAAACTGGTAAGGTAGCAGGGCTTCATCTGCTCTTAGGAAATAATTTTTTTATGGCTTTCGGAAGGTGATGTGGGGAGAAGCTTCCAACGGAGACATCCTTTCCACACATGTTCTTCAACCTTCCCCTCTTCTTCTTCACCCCTCAGGCGTGAATTTGATAAGGAAGAGACAACGATAAGTCAACGGTCACCCTTAAAAATCAAAGAAAGGCATAAAAACAAAAATAATAAAAGTAAGATCCAAAGAAACGTCTCTCCTCCTCCATTTCTCCGATAGGAAATGTGGTAAACAAAGAATATTATGAAGAGAACAACGTTTTTTTAAAAAAAAAAACTGGAGAAGGATTGGCAGAGTCTGCTTTGCCCAAACGGACTCTCGGTGTGGTTTTCTGATCCAAAGTCCTCCTGCGGCTTCCCTCAATGTTAAATGAACTGCTCTCCTCGGCGTCCAAATCATTTGCTCCCAACCTGGTTTGGCCTTCGATTCTGCATGAGGTTTTCATATGAAGTAGATTATGGATGTGGAGTCCAGTTGAGTCTTCTCATGTCCACACACCCCCAAACCTTGCAGCATCCCTCGCTGGAGAATCAAATCTCAAAAGAGTTTCAGGAAGTTTAACCTCGGGTTTTCTCTCCGGACCTTTATTGATCCGATGAGGCCGAACGTCCCCCGTGAAGGGGTTTTAACATCCTCCTGCTGGTGCTTTCTTTCAAGAGGCTTTTCCCGGGAAAGGCAGAAGTGGCCTTCTCGCTTTATAAAGCTTGCTGAGGACGGTGAATAAGCGCCATGCCGAAATTCTTTTAACCGTGGATCGGTGGCCAATATATTCCTAGAAGCCGTTTTTTCCCCTCCACGTGTTTGTCAGTTCAAAGACACAAGTCCTTCTTTCTGCCCCCGGGGCTGGCTTCCCCCCGATGGGAGAAGCCTCGTGGCTTCTCTCCCAGAGTTTGCTCAAAGCCTCCTTTGATTTCAGCAGAACAAGGAGACACTTTGAACGGGAAGACAAGTGGTGACGGAGGTGGTCGACTAAGCAACAACGCGGGATTAGATGATTGGGGTTTTTTCTGGCAAGTTGTAGGAGGTGGTCGGAAAGAACGGGGAGAGATGACAATTGTCATCTTGTATGTGTGTATTTACAGTTGTATTTGTAAATGGGTTTAGGAACAGTGGCAACCCAACTTTTCTAGGAGAAAATGGATATTTGTTCGAATTGGAGCCACCAAGGATTGCAAAGCGAGAGCCATTTTGGATAAACTAATATCCTCAGTAAAAATTCTAGAGAAGGTCTTCTTTAAAATGCTCCAGATTAATTGTGTGTGTGTGTGTGTGTGTGTGTGTGTGTGTGTGTGTGTGATGTGGCTGCTTCTTTTGTTAGATCTTGTAGTGCTTCCATCTTGGAATAGAAGAGAATATTCATACCTGTGAGGTCTTTGGTGCTCTCTGAGCTTCGTGACCCCACAAATTTGTTTTCAGCCAGACCGAAAGGGGAGATTAATAGATATGCAGTGTGTTAATTGCATCGCCGTAATTCATGACGTTTGCAACTGTTCAGAAACCATTCAGAGATATTGAGGAGTCCGATATATACAGTATTTGCAGCGTGATTCTGTCTCCTCTTTGCATTTGGCAAGAATATGAAATTGAGATGAACTCCGTAACTCTAAACTTTGAAGTGTGACTTAGTTGCCTGTGCTTTTCCACTGATCATTTTGAGCGTTTTGCCGTTTTTAGCTGTGGCCTGTTCATCAAACCATTGTTTGAATGGGTTACAACTGCATTATTTGAAGATCTGAGGGGATGTAGGCTGTTTGTAATGGATTGAGTGGTCCAGTGGGCTGTTTATTTTTATTTGCACGGAATCTTTTTCAGAGGTTATTGGAGACAGATTGTATTATTTTGCAGGAACTCCACAGGGTTAACTTAATTGAATTAAAGGATTCATTCCTTTGGACATTTTGTCAGTCTGGATGTATTTTTATGACAAGTTTGAATTTGACTATCTTTCCCCTATATTTGTTGTGGGTTTCGTCATTAGATTTTAGATATAGATTTTAGGTTTAGGTTAGATTTTAGGTTTTGTTGTTAGAATAAAAGTCAGTTCATACACTGACAGTGCTTGTATGCATTATATATTCCCTGTTACATGAGAAAGTATACAGTATATTCCCACTTAAAAAATATTGAACATAAAGATTCCTGCCCACACCTTACAGCATTTCTGTTAAAATTTTAACAGTTAAAAGTGGGAGAACGGGAAGGGAAGACAGGTAGCTTGGTCCTTTCCTCTAATGTGCTGCAATTTTATTTAAAGAGCAGGAGAAGAAAGAAGCTTGCAAAATGTTATTTGGTGGTGAAAAAAATCTCTCCAGAGAGTTCCAATCTCCGGTTTAATCCTTTCGTTTCCTTCTAAAATATCCTTCGCATCAAAATACCGTTTTAAAAAGTCGCTGCAAGACCCAACAGGTGTGACCCAGAATTCTTGACAAAGTTGCATAAGACTTCCTCGGATGATGTGCTGCTTCCTTGGCACCTGTACTTAATGAATTAATTAATTAAAAGAGCCGCAGCTTTTGTGTTGCTTTTATTCAAAAGGACCCCACGCCTTTTAAACGAGAGGCGGTCATTGCCACACACAGTGAGTGCCATCTAGTGATATAGGGACAATATGACAAGCCCTTGGATGTCCTCCCTTCATAGCTGTGTTTATTGATCTAGGTAGGACATAAAGTATATTTCCTGTATACGAGGCCTCTTCTTGTATTAGCAGGGGATGTTTTCTAATGCATGCAAAACACTTCGAACGCTTTTCTTTTAGGTACCCTGAGAACATTTTCACCAAGACAAATTCCTTGTGTGTCCAATCACACTTGGCCAATAAAGAATTCTAATTCTAAATCTAAAATGTCGGCAGAGATTCTCAGTCCTCCAGGTCAGAGTTGTCTCAAAGGTGATGTTTTTCAAAAGGCAACTTTCTGTTTTTTCCTTTTGAAGACGTTTTGCTTCTCACCCAAGAAGCTTCTTCAGCTCTGACTAGCTGGTGGGGAATGGAATGATTTATCTGTACGCTTATCTGTATATTTTGCATGTATGTACATTGTACATATATGCAAACGTACAGAGGTTTCTTATGCCTCCTGAGAAAGCACCTTTTGGACTTTGAACGTTCAAGGCACGTTGCTGAAGGATGTTAAGATACATCTCGGATATAATTTGGATGTATAATATAATAGGATGGAGAGATTATACCTTATGATAGTTTTAGCTAGGATGTATAACACGATGGGAAGGGGGGAAAAAAGGACTTGCTGTATCCAATACACAATGACGTTGTATAATTTTGAATAGTTATGTATATTTAAAATGTATAATAAAATATATATTTTTAAAAAAGATACATCTTGGCCCTTGAGGCTATAGTGCCCCTCGCCAAAACATTTTTTTAAAAAATAAAAGCTGTAAAGATTATTGAGAATTTATTAGAACAAAAATGGGTGCAGCTTGCATACTTGTCTGCTTGTGGCTGAAAAGGCCATTGATCAAAATATATAGACTGGCGTAACTGTGTCGCTAGCCATTTAGGTTCTCTCTCTCTCTCTCTTTTTTCTTCAGCCATTGTTGCTTCTTCTTTCCCAAGTCGCCTTCCTTTCTGACCTTTTCTTCTTTCCTTCAGCGGTGATCCCCCTGACCGATTCTGAGCATAAATTACTGCCTTTGCACTTCGCGGTTGATCCGGGCAAAGACTGGGAATGGGGCACCGATGACAGTGATAACATCAAATTGGCCAAGTAAGGTTCTTTTCAGTCTCCTTCAAGATTTCGAAAGCGGCCCTTTATGTGTCTTCAGGGCTCCTGGTGGGCTTTGCAGAACGGGGATCGCAAACTCGAGGGAAAGCTTGGAGCGTTAGTGCTCTTGTAACACCATCGCAGCCAGATTGGGTCTCGCCAGAGGAGACAGGAATGGGGTATATTTTTCAATCCTCGTGGGAGAAACTCCTTTTTCTTTCCTTCCTGGTCCTGTCCTCACCTTTAAGGTGGCGGGTTGGAGAGATCGTTTTGCCGTGTGAACACCTGTGGCAATTCCTTGTGTGTAACGTATCCGACATGGTGGGTTTCCCCCTTCTCTCTCTTTTTTGTGTTCCCAGTTTGATTCTGTCTCTGGAGGCCAAGCTCAACCTTCTGCACAGTTACATGAATGTAACCTGGATTCGCATGCCGTCAGAAACACGGGTAAATGTTTTTCCTTTGCCTGGTGGCTTGAGAGAAATAAGGTCTATTTGTTTGGCTTGAGTTTCCACTCGAAAACTGGCAACCCAGGGCTGGGCATGGACACAAGGGCAAAAGACAGCCTCCTGCCCAGTTGTGTTAACAGGAATAACACCCACACAACAGTACAGAAAGAATGCTTGGATGGTAGGCAAAATCTAGGAAGCTTCTAGGAATCGCTCGCAATTTTCACTTTTGTAGACGATTTGGGCTGTGGTTGTAGCATCAGCCTTACTTCATGACACCTAACTAGATTAAATCAGAATATAACTGTATAAAATGCTAATATCTAATTCCTTCCACTGCATTATCCCTCATCTTGGATGCCAATGACTGAAAATGCTGGGTGAAAAATTTTACAACTTGTTGAATGAAAACCAAGTAATTTCCCTCCCAAATATTGAGCTGGCTGCCCCTGTAGAGTTTCATCTGGGTGTGGTGTTAACCAGATGTTATGCACAGCAGCCCATGCCTTTAAAGATAATTTGATCTTCAGAAGGGAAGAGTTTGGACAAACTGCCTGCGAATGTACACAACGGTTCTTTGGGTTACAACCGCTCCCGGTTTCTAATGGTTGTCCTGCTTTTTCTCCCAGGCTCCGTTGGCTCAACCGGAATCTCCTACTGCCTCCGCTGGAGAAGATGTCCAGTCGCTGGCAGACTCCATGGATTCAGACAGGGATTCCATCTGTAGTAATTCCAACAGCAATAACGGCAAAAACGGGAAAGAGAAAGAGAAGCAGAGGAAAGACAAGGAGAAGAACCGAGGGGATTCGGTGGCTAACAAACTTGGAAGTCTCAGCAAGACTCTGGGCATCAAGTTGAAGAAGAACATGGGTGGTCTTGGTGGGTTGGTCCATGGCAAGATCAACCGAGCCAACGCTGGGAACGGCAAAAACGGGGAGATCACAGAGAAGCCTAAAGAGAAGAAGTCCAAATCGCGTAAAGGAAGCAAAGAGGAATCGGGCCGCTCTGCGAGCACGTCTCCCTCGGAGAAGACCACCCCGTCACCCACGGAGAAGGCGAGTATCTCCCCCGCGGAAAAGGCCAACTCGAAATCTCCGTCCGAGAAGCAGCCGGACTCCTGGAAATACAGCACAGACGTGAAGCTGAGCCTCAACATCTTGAGAGCCGCCATGCAAGGAGAGCGGAAGTTCATTTTTGCCGGCCTTCTCCTGACCAGCCATAGACACCAGTTCCACGAGGAGATGATTGGCTACTACTTGACCAGTGCCCAAGAGCGCTTCAGTGCTGAACAGGAGCAGAAGAGGAAAGAGGCGGAGAAGAAGGCCGCGGCTCTCGGCGGCTCCTCTTCTCGGAAATTGGACCAAGAAGGGTTTTCCAAGGAGAAGCTGGACTCATCTCCTCAGGGGAGGGCATCACCAGTGTTGTCTCAAAGCCATACCACTCAGCTGGTTTTAAAGTTCAAGGACCGTTCTGCTCCCACAGCGGCTTCTTTCTCGTCCCCTAGCAACAGCGCCAAGAAGAGTGGTCCCATCCCAGTATCTGCCCATTATAGCCATACGCCCCCCGTCCAAAGGCAGAGCGTCATCCACTTGCACGACTTCAACGCCAAGCCATCCAGCTCCCAAGACGACGCCTACAAGCCCGTGGTGGGCACCCTTAAAACGTGCGCCACCTATCCTCAGCAGAACCGCTCCTTGTCCTCGCAGAGTTATAGTCCGGCCCGGATAGCCGACATCCGTACGGTCAACACGGTGGAATCCTTGGCCTACACTCTGCCCACGGACCCCAAGTCACAAACGTACACCAATGGGTTTAATAACAGCAACGACATTAGAGACAGCTTAGAGTACGTGGACGAAGAAGCTCCACAAACCTGGTTGAACAATGAGAAAAACAGAAGCAGGACCACGGTTTGCCCCCTGTACGCCATCCAGCAGAACCGTTGCAAGACGGAGAATTGCTCCTTTTACGGCCGCCCCGAAACCAAGAACTTCTGCTCCTGCTGCTACAAGGAGGAACTCAAACGTAGGGAGCGGGAGAGTAAAAGGTCCCGGCATTGAAGACGTGGAGCTCTTCGAATAAATATTTATTTCATTCTTTTTCTTACTTAGGACATACTGTTATGTGGTAAGGGACTGAAAGAGGAAAGAACCGGGGCGGGGAGGGAGGGGGGTTCTAGAAAGCGCTAGCTTTTCAAATTTTTCTTTTTTTGCAGCGGGGTCGTGGGCAGGAAAACAAAAAACAAAACAAAACAAAAAAAAAAGAAAGCGGGGATCTGTGGTTGATCAAGAGTTGGTGGCTTCCCATTTCACTGGTGTCTTTTTTACACACGCTGGTAATCGGAAAGGGTCTTTACTTCTCTGTCAGTGCTGTATCTGCGTGGTCAAAACTTTACTAATGGTGCCTGAATTCACACTGACATCACTCAGGTAGTAGAAAGGTTAGGGAAAAAGTCATAAAAATAGAAGACGTGGTGTGGTAAGTGTTCATGTGTGTCTGCCTCATTCTGTAGATCAGAGGTGGGGAACTCTGGGCCTTTTGGGAGTGTGGACTGGCTCAGGAATTCTGGGAGCTGAAGTCCACATGTCGACAAGCTGAATTCTGGGAGTTGAAGCCCACAAGTTACAAAAGTCCCAGGGTTCCCCACTCCTGTTGCGGATCACCTCCACAGAAGAAATGTCATGTTCCATCGCTCTTCTTCCCTTGCTGTTTTTTTTTTAAAGGGAAGCGAGCATCGTAAAGGTGTATTTAGTGCGTATTAACTCACTAACATACTTGCTATATAAACTGTGGTTTTTTTATAACCCCATTTTTTCCATAGACCCGCCAAGGAAAGCAGTGGGTCCAAGACAGCATCTTTTATCACCCAACAGTAACGTCTTCATTCATTCATTCCTATACGTGAGCTCTGGTTTTGGGTTACACCAATTGGTCAAGATGGACAGGCCTATCCTTCAATTGCACAACCTTGCCGGCTGATATTAAAATTAAGGCTCGACTCCTGTATTAAAAATGAGCACTTTGCAGGTTGGGGTCAGGGTAGTGCAGCCCCTGATATGGTCAGCTTGTCATCCGGCACTGCAGGCTATACCATTCCCTTAGTTTAGGAATACTGTTATTGCCACGTTATTTAGTTACATTTTTCCCGGATGTTGGCTCGTTCCAAACTTTCTGTAGCCTGTATCCCAGATCCTTCCCGTTCCAGAGAAGAAGGCAAAAATGGTCTGTATTCATTTGCACTGATGTTAAATTATGGACACCTATTTTTGAAAAGCAAGCTATGGGCTTTTTTTTACACATTCTTAAATGTGGCCCTTCGAAGTTTGAATTCAGAAAAAGGGCAAGCAACTGGATTTATTTCAGCAAATTATTTTAAAAGCTCCATTGAATCAAGACTGTGGATCACTGAACCAGCTGGATAACTTTTCTAGAGGTATCGGATTGTTTTGTCACAGGTCTCGCGTTGTATACGAGATCTGTGTCACTTGAGACTTTCAAGAAGAGATTGGACTGCCATTTGTCAGAAATGGTGTAGGGTCTCCCGCTTGGGCAGGGGGTTGGACTAGATGACCTATAAGGTCCCTTCCAACTCTGATTATCAGTAATCTGTTAAATGGGACAACCCTGATTATTTATTTTACGAATGGATAGCTTTCTGCAGCCAGCAACCATTAGATAGTAAAATCCGTCAAAAATATAAATCAGAGTTAAAATCAGCCATAAAATTTAGCAAAGGACAATAAAGGGAAATGTCATTTACAGCAAAACAATGGCAGGTGTCTTTCTTGCTGCCAATCCAACTTCTCGAGAACATCTTCCAAGCTGCCTGTATACCCCTTGTCCAGATTGGTCTTGCAAAGAAACAAGAGAAATTTTGCAAGTGGATTCCAAATTGATATAATATCCGAACCTTTAGGCCTTGTCAAGATCTTGGTCAGTGGTCATCCGCATCATCTGAAGATGCTAAGCCTTCTTCTTCTGAAGTCATCTCTAATCTTGGAATAGGCGGAGTGTGAATAAGGGAAGAACATTTTATAACGTCCCTTCATAGCTGATGAAATAGTCAAAACAGACAGAGAAGCAATCCTAGTTTCCACGCCAATCTTTTCTTCCTTGGATAATATTTCTTGAGTTTGGGTAGAACTCCCCAGCCGTATGCATGATCTTTCAGAAGAAGCCATGGTATCTCCATCACTTCTGATTTAGGTTAGATTTGATCATATATTTAGTAAGATCTGAGGGAAAAGTGGCAGGAACCACTTTTTATCTTCCTTCTCCCTACTTTTCAAAGCCAATGGTTTGTTATAAAAACCACGATGCAATCCATTATTGGATTCCTCCCTATTCTGTTGTGTTTCTGTCTTGTAATCATCTTCATCGGCAGACCTTGTTAGGGCATAAGAATGGGTTACATTCTTATACAGAGCAATATAACCTAACTCTTAGGATAATTTTTGTCTACATCTATCCTAAGTTGCATCTCAACCTGTGCATCCTCACCCATTCCGTTCCTTTGGTTCCGTTCCATTCATAAAAAGAGAAGGGAAACCATTTGTCCCCAACTTGAAAGCACCTTCAAACATCCAAGTGATTTTGAAAAGCTCGTTCCAGATCCTTACACCCCGGTGTAAGAATTCCTCTCCCGATCATGCATCATTTTATATTTGGTTCTGCTTCCCTAAATATAAAACAATGGTGCCTACTGTCCATGGTTATTCACTTGTGTGTTTTACTCACCGTGTCATAAGTCTTCTGGAGAGCCAATCGCTGATGCATTCATACTGGCCTAGAAAAGGAATGAGAAAGTTTCCTCGGCATCGCTGAATAAGTATTTTAATTTTAGGAGGTTGAATAATACTTGACTATAACAGTTTCTCTATCTTTGGGAAGGTGCGGCAGTTCTCAGTTAAGGCCAACTTTCCCCCATAAATGCCGTTGGGTTATCACAACCCACTATGGGTCCACACTGTCAGCTGACACACACATCAGAAGAGTGTACCAGGATGTGTACAGAAACCCTGATTCCTAGCTTATTCCTAGTCTTTGGGAAATCTCAGAGAGAGAGAGAGAGAGAGATGACTCTATTATTAATACTAATTGGCTTTTTTTGTCAATGTTTCCTCTAAGATCTGGGAGGAAGAACGTGTTGGAGAATGTCTTTTCCATGCCTTTTGTGCTTCCACTTTGGGATCAAGATATTCAACTGTGGTGGGACTGGGATGTCTGGCTCTTGAACTTTGGGTCCAGTTCATTCCCAGGAGTCTCCCTTCCAGTTCTGAAGAAAGCTGTGGGGTCTTGATGTTCCTTCTTGGTTGTGGTGATTGCTGATTCATTTCTTTGGCCAAAGAAACTATGGTACCAGATGGAGAAACCTGTGATTGTATTTCATAACCTGTGTGTGTGTGAGAGAGAGAGAGAGAGAGAAAGAGAGAGAGAGAAATTGGACATTGTTTTTAAGGGAGGGTGAGTTAAGCAAATATTTATTGTTATAGATTGGTGAAGGAACAGCCTCCGCTATTCCTATGAATACACTTCTGTAGGTGAACCCAAAAGTGTTTCTTTCAAGGGGCAACTGGTCTTTCTTTGTCTTTCCTTGAAGATGTTTCACTTCTCATCCAAGAAGCTTCTTCAGTTCTGAAGGAAAGCCCAAGAAAGTCCAGTTGCCTCTTGAAAAAGCGCTTTGGGGACAACCATGCGCTGGATGACGGAGAAGCTCTGTAGACATTATGTAGGTAAAGTTAGTTATCTAAAAAAAGTTGTCGCTAGTATGCACTTCATTTTTCTTTTGCTCAAAGACGTCTTTCTAACGTGAATGATATCTTTTCAGAATGATGTACGCAAACAGGCACACAAACAAGCAACATATACAGATATATTACCAGTCTTAAGGCATGAAATAATTGATGCTCTGCCTTGGAGCATAATATCAGATGTCTACTTGAATCATTCCACTGTTTCTCTTCTTCACGATTTGATTCGAAGCCTAATCCTTAAATTGTTGCAAAGACTATAATTACTATGGAGTAGAGCTATGCAAATGCAAATCCTTGAAATCCTTGAGAAGTCAATAGTTAGTGGAGATAAAGAAAGAAAGAAAGAAAAAGAAAGAAAGAAAGAAAGAAAGAAAGAAAGAAAGAAAGAAAGAAAGAAAGAAAGAAAGAAAGAAAGAAAAGAAAAGAAAGAAAAAAGGAAAAAAAATATTACCACTATTTACAGAAAGAAAACTAGATACATGAAATATATGAAAAGTTGCTGAAATTAGAACTTTCGTGAAAGATTATTTGGATTTTTTAGAAAAAGACTCAAAACTATAAATTGTTAAATGTTTTTTTTTAATGTAGAGTAACATTCTATTCCTGAGAGACTGTATTTTATAGAAGCCAAACAAGATTTTACTAGAAAATTTCTCTCCCTCGTTGTCTCTCTTTCTCTGTAAGAGTGAATACATGTGCATACAAAGACACAAACATACCCACAATCCGTTATGCTACTACTGTTTTTTTCCATTTGTGTTGTACAAGTTTGTGAGTTGGGTCAGGGGTGGGACAAGTGGATATTGTAGACAATTCAGTGTGTTAAGGGCTAGGGGTAATCTTGGAAGTGAATTCTAAGTGAAGAATGTAGTTGTGCAAAAAAAGAGTTCCAATGTAGTTGTCGGATTACTTTCAGAGGCTGTTGTGCAAAAATAGGGGATTTTCTACACAAGCCCTGCTGAAGTGCACAGGAGCCTCTCAAGGACAACTTAATACACACCTGACATTTCAGTGGCACTCGTGTAAGAATTTTTTTCTGATGAATTATCCTCTTTATTTGGCGTGTCAGATCTTAGAACAGTGGTTGAATGTACTTAGTGTTGCTAACTGTTCTGGGCAAAGCAATGTTTTTACAGATGATTTTTTTTTTTAAAAAAAGATTTATGTTTAAAATATACATAAATAATAGGCGGAAGTTGCATTGAAGAAAGTAGGCAGTTTTCTGGATAGGTTTGAGCCATTCTACTAATATTATTAAAAGACAAAAAATTATGCAAAAAGTTTAGCCTTTCTTCTATAGAGCAAAAAGAGATAAGGGAAGGTTTGTAAGCAAACAATACCGAGGTGTTCTCATACTTTGTAATACTTCACTTAAAACAAATATTTCAAAGGGCTAATGAATGAATAAAACATGATCCGCTCGTGTTTACAGAGAAGTTGTGTTGTGTGTGCGTGGTAGATGTTTTGCAGCACATCTACTGGACGTTTTGCAGCCAGTCATAACCGAAGGGTCGTGAGAAGCGAAAGCTGACCTGGGAAGCAAAGTTTTTCCTCTAAGGCTGGTGCCTGGTGCCCTCCTCCACCTTCAGTTAATTACTCATTGTTGTTCTTGCAAAATAAGTAACAACAGCAACGATAATGGCCAGGCTATTTCCTTGGACAACATGTCATGCTTTCACTTTCAATGCCTCTGTAATTTTCCCCATCGTTGCTAACTGAAATATCTAAAATGGGAAGGAAAAAAAAAACGTGAAAGGAATTTGCAAGATGACAAATGAAAGGTGATGTGTTTGGTCCTCCCCATAACATTCTGGAAAGGTGATAG